TCCCTAATGCGCACCAGATTGTACGCGCTCCTGAGATCCAACTTTGTGAAGAACCGCGCTCCGCGTAATGACTCAGTCATAGTCGCAATCAGTGGAAGAGGGTAACTGTACTTAACCGTGATCTGATTGAGACTACGGTAATCAATACACGGGCGCAAACCCCCGTCCTTCTTCTTCACAAAGAAGAAACTCGAGGAAACCGGGGAAGTGGAGGACCGTATGTATCCCTGTGCCAAGGACTCGGCTATGTAAGTCTCCATAGCCGCTGTCTCCTCTTGAGACAGGGGATACACACGGCTCCGCGGAAGTGCCGCTCCTGTTTGGATATCTATCGCACAATCCCCCTGTCTATGAGGTGGTAGCCGTGTTGCTCTCGTTTTGCGCATTGCGGGCACTTGGTTCGGACTCTCTATCGAGGTCGCCCCTAAGGAAACACCTAGACATCTCCCTACACACTGGGCAGACCACTCCATAAGAGCCCTCTGTTGCCACGCTATGGTAGGATCATGGGCGCTTAACCAGGGAAGCCCCAGCACCACGGGATACGCAGGAGAGTCAATCAGATAAAACTGAATGATCTCCTCATGACCCCCCTGCGTCGTCATCTTAAGTGGTGCTGTGACTTCTCTGATCAACCCCGACCCCAACGGCCGGCTGTCTAGGGCATGAACAGGAAAGGGGGCTTCTACCGGCCGAAGGGGAATTCCTAACCTATAACAAAATTCACGATCAACAAAATTCCCAGCTGCGCCTGAATCTACTAGCGCCTTATGCTGGGAATGAGGTGCCACCTGTGGAAATCTCACAGGTATACACATGTGACCAACAGAGTGCTCTGGGTAAGTGGGGCGCCTACTCACCTGAAATGACTCCCCAGTGCGTGACCTGTTGTCCCCTCTCCCAGGAGACCCTCCCCAGCACCTGGCCGCAGTGTGTCCTCCACGGCCACAGTTGGTGCAGGGGATGGCCCCCCTCAGGTTCTCTCTCCTCCTCTCTCTAGCGCCAGCACCTCCGAGCTCCATGGGAATCGGCTCGGAGGTGCTGGAGGGTGGAATGGACGACCCCCACTCGGGACGTCCGCGGGTAGCCAGCAGGGTGTCGAGACGGATGGAGATGTCCACCAACTGGTCGAAAGATAGGTTGGTGTCCCTGCAGGCCAGCTCACGACGAACGTCCTCTCGTAGGCTACACCGGTAATGGTCGATGAGGGCCCTCTCATTCCACCCCGCATCCGCCGCTAGAGTCCGGAACTCCAGGGCGAACTCCTGTGCGCTCCTCTTCCCCTGTCGGAGGTGGAACAGACGCTGCCCCCGCCGCCTTCCCCTCAGGTGGATGATCGAACACAGCCCTGAAGCGGCGGGAGAACTCCGCGTAGGTGATGGTAGCGGCGTCTATTCCCCTCCATTCGGCGTTGGCCCACTCCAACGCCTTGCCGGAGAGACAGGAGATGAGGGCGGAGACGCTCTCGTATCCCGAGGGCGCTGGGTGTATGGTGGCCAGGTAGAGTTCCACCTGCAGGAGGAACCCCTGACACCCGGCTGCAGAACCATCATATGCCCTCGGGAGCGAGAGCCGAATGCCACTGGGTTCCGGTGCTGGGAGAGGAGGACTGGCCGTTGGTGATGGTATGGTGTGAGAAGGCGTGGGCACCTATCCCGTAACCAACCGGCGCAGAGTGTTGGACACCTCGTTCATGGCGGCCCCAAGTTGCCGGATCATGGTGTCTTGGTCGCTGATCCGATCCTCCAGCGACTTGGGTGCCGCCGCTGCTCCTGCTGACTCCATACTGGTGTGTTGTTCTGTCAAGGCTGAGGTGTATGTGGTGTGGGAGTCAGGCGCAGGACACCGAAGCTTAGTCCAACAAAGTTTACTTGTGAAACCACAAGGCAAAGATACAATGATCGGCCTCAAACAAAACAGAGGCGAGCAATTACGCAGACTATGCGTAAAACAATAAAACAACAAAACAGAGAAAAACACGCAGCACTACGGACAGGCGAAAAACAACACACAACCTAACCAATACAAAACAGGCAACTTATAGAACAAGTAATCAGACACAAACGGACACAGGTGTAATAGACAGACAAAAGCAATCAAACATAGAAACATTCAACGGTGGCAGCTAGTACTCCGGGGACGACGAACGCCGAAGCCTGCCCGAACTAGGAGGAGGAGCAGCCTCGGCAGAATCCGTGACAGTCTGATTGTTTTGTCTACCTTGAGTATTGGTGGAGTTGGTCATGTCTGGCACTCAACATCTTGCTATTTTAATCCACCCTCCTTTAACACCCTGACCCTCATCCTCTTTAGTTCAATCACCTGAGATGCCTCACAAGTACACTACTGTGCACAAACCCCAGCTAGTTCTAACAAAATGGACCACACAGGGTAACCCATTCTGTCCTGCCAAACCTGTGCATTTAATCAGGATTTGTTAGAGCTTGCCTGGTAAGTGATTGGTAGCACTCTTGCTCGAGTGATTGCAAACCCCTGCTGATTCTACCATCCATGACACATAAACACACTCAGACTGACACCCACAGACAAGGATGGCTTCCAACAGGATCAACTCTAAAAATAACCCCTGTGCTCAGCTTTGTAATATTTATGGGTGGATTAGGAATGCTTTGTCACTGCCTGTTAATAAGCCAATTTCACACACCACCAAACCCCTTTATAGTGGGGATATTTGTGGCCTGTATTGAGTCACCTGTGTTGAGTCACAGAACAAATGATTGTGGTTGCTTGGTCTGTGTTCACACAGCTGTTCCTGTTTGTCTCCTTACCTGGGTTGACTTGGTTCCCATTCTCTCACTTTTTCCACTACTCTTTGTACCCACTTTGACATTCTCTACTATCAGTTTGGTGTGAGTTAGTAGTTTTATATTCATTTTTTATGTGTGTATAACGCCAAAGCCACTTACTGATTTGACAACTCCAACGCAGTTACACCTCCGAACATCGCCTTAATGAAAACAATCAAACTGCTATGCAGCTGTTGGTTATTGCGGGTTAAGGCAGAACTGATTGAATCTAACTATTAAAAAGACATTGGTCGTGTTAGAGCATCAAAACCCTGATGTATCATGGGTAAATTGTGACTGACTCACTGATCTCCAAATACTATTGAGGTTATTTATGATGCAAGGTGATTTGTAGATCACTCAGTCTCGACTCAGCTGCCATGTCGAACGCGTCCACTGCCTAAAGCAGGGGTTCCCAAACCTTTTCACTCGGGGCCCCGCTTCCAGCATTGGGGAACATCCCGCCCCCCACGTCTATTTCTATGGGCACAAGCACTGTTCACGACACAAAATGTTCACACCCCTCTTGTTTGTGGAGAGTATTTCTGACAAGTTATAAATAGCTCTCTAATGTATGCAATGACTAACATGACAAGAGGAACTGATGATGCACTACCCAATTTCCAAATTGCACCTTGTGAATTCTACTATTAGTTTGGAAACCACTGGTCTATAGGATAACCATAGTTACATCACAGCACGCATAGTATCATTAGTATGTAATCGGTATTCTGGTGCCATCTAGTGATCTAACACTCAAACTGCACCAAACAACATTTGGAAACATTACCTTTAGCAAGACTACACACTTTATTCAGAAATCATCACTACAGAGGAAAAATTGCCCAAGCAGGCTAACTGGAAAAAGAGACAATCTTACTTTATTTTTACCTCATATCAAGAAAAACATAATATCTTGTTTTTAAAAATACATAAAGAAAAACAATCATAATCATAATAAAAGCAATATTTTTTTAACTAATTCTGTAATTTCTTGGTTTAGATTTTTGTATTATTTGTATTGTATTTGCGTCACATTCTACTGCACTGTTGGAGCTAGTAACATAAGAATTTCGCTGCACCTGCTATAACACCTGCAAATCTGTGTACGCGACTAATAAACTTTGATTTGAAAAGCAAACCAATTAAAACAATTACTCCACTAAGAATAAAAATACAATAATGATGATAACCATTAATAAAATGATAATAATATCTCTACTAACGAAATAATTTCTGATGATAATGTGTTATTTCTATCTATTGCACATTGACCTGGGCAGGGGTTGGAAACAAAGAACAGCATGACAGAGAACACAGATCCCTTCATTCCAACTGGCTGGGAATTGTCAGAGATTGGGAGGAACAGCAACAGTTCATGTGAAGGCCAGCCCGGCAGGCCACCAGTCTTTGGGCATGTTACTGCCCTGCTCAGCTCCTCACTTACAAAGAGGCTCGCACTCATTTTACATTTACATTTTAGTCATTTAGCAGACGCTCTTATCCAGAGAGACTTACAGGAGCAATTAGAGTTAAGTGCCTTGCTTAAGGGCACATCGACAGATTTTTCACCTAGTCGGCTCGGGGTTAGAACCAGCGACCTTTCGGTTACAACGCTCTTACCCACTAACCTACCTGCCTCCCCCCTCCTCACACACAGAAGGAAGGACTTGTGGGGATGTGCATCGCAACAAGCAGGTCTTCACAATGCACGCACAGGCACAGCAGCCAGATAGAGGATAAGGATACACAGTACTAACAGCACTGGGAGGGAGTTATAGTGACTGCAGCTGTAAAGTTGACAAAATATCCAGAGTCAGTGAATATATCTACTAATCATGCATGTGAGCATGTCAAGTGTGTAAATATGAGTGTGTGTGCCTTGCAGTGTGTGTAGTTGTGTTCAAAATCCTGTGTGAATGTGTGCACGTGTGCATGGAGTCCATAGCTATGTGAAAGCGGGCCCGTCGATGTCTCTAGGTGACAGGAGGTGGTCTTTGAAAGAGGGAGGGGTTTAGGAGAGGCCAACACAGCATCAAGAGATCCAGCCAATCAGGAGAGGTCAAAAAGTCATAGCTTGGTCAAAGCTGTGGGTGGAGCCAAGACTATTGACTAGTGTCTGGAATAATGAGCTTGGGGCTTTGGAGGGTTAGGGCAGGGGCGTGGGGGTGAGCGAGTATTTTGAGCATCAACTCAGGAGTTGTCAGAGGGGACGTGCTCTTCGAAACCCTCGCTCTCCCTGACGAGTGCTCTCTCCAGGATGACGCGGCCCTCCTTGTAGCGCTGGCTGTCCTCGGTGGCAAACTCATAGATCCAGCCCAGCTTGCTGTTGCAGTTCTTACAGCTGACATCTCGCACCATGTGTCTGCCCGTCAGCATCACGCGGTCCTGCACCTCGCTGTACTGCAGGTTCACCACCTTACAGATAATGAATAATAATGCAGAGGTTATTACACAGCCATAACATGGTAATAAACACGTATGTGTTTGCTAGGTGTGTTATGTCTGTCTATTGTGGAAGTGGGTTTTCTAGGTGTCACGTTAGTGTAACTTGCTGTGTACATTTTGTGAGTACACTTGTGTGTTATACATAGCTAAGCATAGCGAAAGTGAGTCTGGCATAAAAGTTATTAGTTTGAGTGTTGAGCATAAAAGGCATTTTCACATTGGACCATTTCACTCAAGGGGTAAAAGCACTAATGTGAAAACATGTATTTGGCAGTAGCAGGCTGGTGTCGTGGTGTTACAGCGGAGGTGTCGCTTGCCTTGTTGAAGAGGAATGCTCGGCCGGTGGCTCCGGTGAAGCGGGTGGAGATGAGTTCTGAGCGGTTGGTCAGGATGGTGTCACAGTTGGCACAGGAGAAGAGGCGTGTGCCCCCGATGTGGTCCAGGAAGATCCGCCCCATGCTTCAGTACACACTCACCTACAGGACCAAAGGGGAGGAGAGGGTTAATGCTGCTCTCTGAAAGATAAGACAGAGAGATCATTTCAATTACATCTCTATACTCTGATAAAAAAATTGTTCAATGAAGAACAAAAAGCACTGACAACTGTCATAATACAGTCCCTAACGATAATACAGTCCTTAACGACGCACGCACCCTCTCTTTCATGGCGGTCTTGTCAAACTCAGTAACGCCATATTTAGCAAACGACGTCGATGGCACCAAGCAAATATCGGGAAAAAATGACATGTCGTAGCCTAAACACAACCCAGTCTTACCGTTTAAAGACTTTTCGACTAGTTAGGCTTTAGCTAGTTGTAGCTAAGGCGTCCTTTTCCACGTTAATTATTTTCTTCCCTGAAGTCTGTTGGGTTCGTTGTCGCTTTGTTGTTCTCTCACAGCTGTTCCTGCGGATTCTGTATCAACATCCGGTACGTTGAGGTGACGTAGAACGTCGCACTGGTTCAGAGAGGAAAAGGAAGAGGCCCAACTCGGCGGAAAATATGTCTCCCTTCCAGCAGGTGGCGTTTTTTTCGTTCTTTCGCCCACCAAGCAAGGAGTTTTTGTATTGAGGTCAATGAGAGAGTGTCGAATTTGGTCAACTGAAATGGGTATTTTGCTACATGAGGTTTATATGATTGAATATACGTTTCGTAATACTTTTAAGTTGTTTCGAGTGTACTGATATAGGACACGTGACATCCCCGCAACTTGATAAAAAACTTTATATCGGAGTTGTCTCGAGATGGCTATGCATATTCATGTCACGAGGGTAGTAGCATAGCATCTATCTCCATTGAATATGTTGACGTCAATAACCCTCATAGAATATTCAAAATAAATTACAATAATGAGATGTATCCACCAATCCAAAGAAAGGATAGGTCAGCCCGCTGTGCCGCTTTTTGGATGACTCCCATTGTTAAGGCGGAAAGACATGTATCTTGTCAGTATATCCATAATCTTTAACTGGTTTTGCCTGATGACCTAAATTGAGCTATCTATATTGAAAATACTGTGATTGAAGAAAACGATATAATATCACTTCTATACACTTTCTTCCTGGTTTAAGTCGTTTAAATTCCGACTGGAGTATTTTTTCGTTGTAATAAAATAAAATAAAAATTACAATAAAACATTTACTCAGACAACCGCGACCCATTCAAAACCTCATCGCGACCCAACAGTTAAGAATCGCTGGGTATGACAATTTTCATTGAGCTACCATACCAGGAGAGTTAGGACTTCTGTTTTGAAGCCAGAGAATGAGTCTAAGTCGTATTTCACTGTTAGTTTTACACAAATAATTGTACATTTTCTGTTATAAAATTGACGATTGTTATTTTTTTAAATAAAAGTACTGATGATGGGTGTACTGTTGCTTCTTGCGTTGTATGCGTGTGCTTACTGTGAACTGTAATATCATATGCTTCACGGAGTCGTGGTGAACAAGGACATGGTTAACATAAATCTAGCTGCTATTTTTATGCATCGGCAGGACAGAACGGCTGCGTCTCGCAAACTCAAGGGCGGGGGTGTGTGTCTCTATGTTAACAACAGCTGGTGCACGATCTCTAACATCAAGGAAGTCTCCAGGTTCTGCTCGCCTGAGTTAGAATACCTCATGATAAGCTGTAGACCATACTATTTACCAAGAGAGTTTTAATCAATGTTTTTCATAGCTGTCTATTTACCACCACAAACCGATGCTGGCACTAACACCACACTCAACTAGCTATATAGAGCCATACGCCAACAAAAAAATGCTCATCCAGAGGCAGAGCTCCTAGTGGCCGGTGGTTTTAATGCAGGAAAACTGAAATCAGTTTTACCTAATTTTTACCAGCATGTCACCTGTGCAACTATATCATATTGACTACATTCACAGAGACGCATACAAAGCTCTCCCTCAATTTGGCAAATCTGACCATAACTCTATCATCCTGATTCCTGCTTACAAGCAAAAACTCAAACAGGAAGTACCAGTGACGTTCAATTCAGAAGTGGTCTGATAAAGTGGATGCTAAGCTACAGGACTATTTTGCTAGCACAGACTGGAATATGTTTTGGGATTCATCCAATGGCATTGAGGAGTTTACCACATCAGTCACCGGCTTCATTAATAAGTGCATCAACGACATCATCCCCACAATGACCGTATGTACATATCCCAACCAGAAGCTATGGATTACAGGCAACATCCGCACTGAGCTAAAGGCTAAAGCTGCCGCTTTCAAGAAGCAGGACACTAACCCGGATGCTTATAAGAAATCCCGCTATGCCCTCTGACGTCCCACCAAAGAGGCAAAATGTCAATACAGGACTAAGATCGAATCCTACTACACTGGCGCTGATGCTCGTCGGATGTGGCAGGGCTTGCAAACTATCACAGATTACAAAGGGAAACCTAGCCACGAGCTGCCCAGTGACGCAAGCCTACCAGAACCATCCATGAGAGCACCAGCTGTTACGGACGACTGAGTGATCACGCTCTCCGTAGCCGATGTGAGTAAGACCATTAAAAAGGTTAATATTCACAAGCCTGCAGGGCCAGATGGATTAACAGGATGCATACTCAGAGCATGCGCTGACCAGCTGGCAAGTGTCTTCACTGATATTTTCAACCTCTCCCTGACCCAGTCTGTAATACCTACATGTTTCAAGCAGACCACCATAGTCCCTGTGCCCAAGAACGCCAAGGTAACCTGTCTAAATGACTATCGCCCCTTAGCTCTCAGATCTGAAGCTATGAAATGCTTTGAAAGGCTGGTCATGGCTCACATCAACACCATCATCCCAGACACGCTGGACCCACTCCAATTTGCATACCACCAACAGATCCACAGATGACGCAATCTCTATTGCACTCCACACTGCCCTTTCTCACTTGGACAAAAGGAACACCTACGTGAGAATGCTGTTCATTGACTACATCTCAGCATTCAACACCATAGTGCCATCCAAGCTCATCACTAAGCTAAGGTCCCAGGGACTGAACACCTCCCTCTGCAACTGGATCCTGGACTTCCTGATGGGCCGCCCACAGGTGGTGAGGGTAGGCAACAACACATCCGCCACGCTGACCCTCAACATGGGGGCCCCTCAGGAGTGTGTGCTTAGTCCTCTCCTGTACTAACTGCGTGGCCGTACATGATTCCAACACCATCATTAAGTTTGCTTACAACACAACGGTGGTATGCCTGATCACAGACGATGATGAGACAGCCTATAGGGAGGAGGTCAGAGACCTGGCAGTGTGGTGCCAGGACAACAACCTCTGCCTCAACATCAGGAAGACAAAGGAGCTGATCGTGGACTACAGGAAACGGAGGGCAGAGCACGCCCCCATTAACATCGATGGAGCTGTAGTGGAGCAGATCGAGAGCTTCAAGCTCCTTGGTGTCCACATCACTAAGGATCTATCATGGTCCAAACACACCAACACAGTTGTGAAGAGGGCACGGCAATGCCTCTTCCCCCTCAGGAGGCTGAAAATATATGGCATGGGCCCTCAGAGCCTCAAAAATCATTTTGACTGGCTGCATCACCACTTGGTATGGCAACTGCTTGGCATCCAACCGCAAGGCGCTACAGAGGGTAGTGCATATGGCCCAGTACATCACTGGCTCTATACCAGGCGGTGTCAGGGGAAGAACCAAAAAATTGTCAAAGACTCCAGCCACCCAAGCCACAGACTGTTCTCTCTGCTACCGCACAGCAAGTGGTACCATTGCACTAAGTCTGGAAACAACAGGATCCTGAACAGCTTCTACCCCCAAGCCATAAGACTTCTAAACAAGACTGCTAAATAGCTAATCAAATGGCTACCCGGACTACCTTTGCATTAACTCTCTTGCAATGACTATGCACACACACTGGACTCTACCCACACACTCAAACATACTTACACTGACACCCCAACACACACATACTGTACACACACACACTACATACGCCCACACACACATAACATGCACACACCTGCATACTGATGCCACACACACACTCACCACATAGGCTGCTTCTAGTCACTTTACCCCTACCTACAGTATATGTACAGTACATAGCTACCTCAATTACTTCATACCCCTGCACATCGACTCGGTACTGGTACTCCCTGTTTATAGCCATGTTATTTTCTATTCCCTATACATTCACCGGCCAGTTTATTAGGTATCACCCCATTCATGAAAATGGATCACTCCTACAGACAGTGAGTCACGTGGCTGTGGCTTGCTATATAAAGCAGGCAGAGAGACATCAAGGAATTCAGTTACTGTTCAATTGAACGTTATAATGTGCAAAACGAGTGACCTAAGCGACTTTGAGTGTGGTATGATCATTGGTGCCAGGCGCGCCGGATCCAGTGTCTCAGAAACGGCCACCCTCCAGGGTTTTTCACGCATGACAGTGTGTAGGGTTTACAGAGAATGGTGAGACAAACAAAAAACATCCAGTCAGTGGCTGTCCTGTGAGCAAAAACAGCTCGTTGATAAGAGAGTTCGAAGGAGAATGGCAAGAATTGGGCAAGCTAACGGGCGGGCCACAAACAGACAAATAACAGCGCAGTACAACAGTGTGCAGAACGGCATCTCGGAACGCACAACTCGTCGATCCTTGTCACGGATGAGCTATTGCAGCAGAAGACCACACCGGGTTCCACTTCTATCAGCTAAAAACAAGAAGAAGAGGCTCCAGTGGGCACGCGATCACCAACACTGGACAATTGAGGAGTGGAAAAACATCACCTAGAACATGACAGCGAGTTCAGTTTACTTGAGTGGACTCCTTCGACCTCTCTCATCAGTCCCCAGACCTCAACCCAACAGAGCATATTTGAGATGAGATGGAATGGGCTGTTCGCAGCATGATTGTACCGCCGTCCAATCTGCAGCAACTACCTGATTCCATCTCGTCAGCATGGACCAACATCCCTGTGGAATGTTTCCAACACCTTGAA